AACATGCAGATCACTGTGACCATCAAGAAAAATCCCAGCCCAAACCATTATTCCATCACCTCTAAAAACTGTGACTTTCCTCAGTGTGGGATTGGTTGTATCTGGTGTGTTGTTTCCTCCAGATCAGGCTCACGACCTCAGTCCCTCTCCAGTGTGAACCTGGACTCGTCTTTAAAGAGAACAGATGCCAATTGTTGAATGGTCCAAGAGATGAGGCCTCTTGCCCAACGTAAAAGCAGCACCTCTGTGTCTCCGGGTCAAAAGGACACAAACAACTGGTCATCTTGCATTACAGACGTATATTTTGCATGCATCGGCGTAGTGTAGTAGCTGAGACTCTTGTTCACGTTGCCACTAAATCATCTGCTATGAGCTATGTGAGCTATGTATAGATGCAGTAATGTTGTAAACACAGTAATGTTGTTTCTTCTGGTGAAAGAGCTAATTAACGGTCTCACACAGGTGTTGTAACTCTTAAACAGCCTAGAACATGTCTTCTAGACACAGAATCCTCATATTCAATCTGATTCTATAGTTGGTGGATCACACTACGAGAGACATAAAGATGTCTAGCAGCAGCATCTTGTGACATCCCCATTTCCATTCATCAGATAGCCCACTATCTCAACGAATCAGACAAATGATTTCTCCTGGACATTGATAGATTCTCCTGAATATTGTCAACAGAACCTTGCAATTTTTGCATTTTTTCTCCAACTTCAATATAAGTATTCATTTCTATAAAATAAAGTTGTAGCTATTGCTTTTGCATATATTTTTTTAAACTTCATTACTGTCATGCATATGAACTGTGAATTTAAATGTTACTGACATTTTTGTATTGGTGGGCTTTCAAAAATATGTTGTTCCTTAACTTTTGTAGGGCAGTATACTTCCACATAGATACATTTTAGCAAAGTCATGAGTTGCTTTGTTTGCAAAACAGCATATTGCCTCATGAATACCTTTCAGGGATGTGGGCAGATAATCAGTAACTATCAATTTTTTCTTTTTTTACTTATCTTTCTTCAAGCATAAGACTGGATGCAAATTTTAATGCTCTTTTGGTTCAGCCCAGAGATTAAATTGCACCGGAGCCCTAAATAAGAAGGCTCCGGCACTTTTTTTTCTGCAACTGGAACAATTATTTCAGCAGAAATTTGATCTAGAAAATTTTACTTTTAGCAATAAAAATTATATAAAAATTGCTTATTAAATTTTAATTTTTCTCTTTACATTTTATTTAATTTTAATTATTTTAATAAATAATAATGGATTAAGTAATAATTATAAATTAAATAATCAATAAATATTGATTTTTAATATCAATTAAATAAAAATAAGAAAGAAAAATATCTTAAAAATTATAAGCTAATATATACCAAGCTCTCATGACTGGATAAAGGCAGTTATGCCACTCAGAGGGTTAATGAATTATTTTTCAGATAGTCTTAAAGACTGATTCATATTTATTTCAATTTTAATACACTCTTTTCATAACTTATATCTGTTGGTTATATAACTAAATAAACAGCAATTCTTTTCTTCTGATGTCTGCTAAAAGTTTGCCAAGATCTATATCAGCTTCTACAGTTGATGGGAAGATACAGAAGTACTTTAAATAACTATTATCCAAGGAAAAAAAATTCCAATTGATTTTATTTATAACCCAGAATTTTTAACAATAACTTATAAGTCATATTTAAAACTTATTTTTTTTCAACATATTTAATGTTGTTTCTTTAATTATTAAAAACATTTATATTTTAAATTAAAACTCTTACCTATCTGCACTGATTAGCATATGCAGATAGGTCTTTTTGTTGATTTCCAGACAAAACAAAACAATTTCATTTGACTACTTTAAAAAGAAAAAAAAATTTGACACAGAGAGCACAAAAATTATCACTGTCTAAGGCATGAAAACTTATTTAATTGATGGCATCTGTAAATATGCAGTGTGCTTGAAAGGCAAAGTCATTGAGAGAAAGGGCAGCTCTACTCTTATATGTGCCCTAAGATCACCAAATGTGGCGATATGTGTTCTGCGCTGGTTTTTGGCACGATTGCGTGTTGTATGACAACCCTTTTGACGACGAATACTCTTTTGCTGGAGTGTTTTAATTGCTTGTTAGTTCGTGTCGTACGCGTTTCGAAACGGCCTATGTTGCAATGAGAGACGTGGTTGCAAGAGAGTCTGGGAGATTATTTTTAGTGGCTGTGCATGATAGAAGTAAGGAAACGCTGATCCAGCGTATTAAAGAGTGGATTGAGCCTTGCACAACTATTTTTTCAGGAGGCTGGAAATCTTACAAGGATTTAGGAAAAGAAGGTTTTGAACATTTATTTGTGAACCATAGTATGAATTTTCTGGATAGTGATGTCTGGCTGTCATATAAATACGATAGGGAATGTAATAGCTATATTGCCTGCTTATAATTGGAAATACAGTTTCAAGTTTTATTTGGTGGTTTATATGTTTTTCCATGCTGTTCAGAAACGGGCGGATTCTTTCAACAAATTTGTGGTGAAATTGTTTTTGGTGATGTTTGAAATTGATATTTCTGCTGTTCGAAGAAAGCATTCATTCATGGTAAGTGCATTTTATTTTATTCTTGTTCTTATTGTGTAGAATGTTATGTTAATCGTTTTTTTTATTTATTTATTGAATTTCTGTCATTATTGTTGTTTTTTTTTTCTTAATTGTTTGAAATTTAATTTTAATTATTTTAGTTTATTTTGTTGATTAGTGCGCATAGTGCCTAGATTGTACAATTCGTAGTTGTTTTTTAAAGTTGAAACAGAATGCTGTGTACATGGTATTCTTTGAAATTAATTGTTGTTATGTTAATTTATTTAAGCGAGGTGTGCGTATTTCGTAGATTCTTTCGCTGCCTAGATTGTTCAATTCGTAGATGTTTTTTTAAAGTTGAAATAGAACACTGTGTACATGGTATTGTTTGGAATTTATTGTTGCTATGTTAATTTATTTAAGCGAGGTGTGCGTATTTCGTAGATTCTTTCGCTGCCTAGATTGTTCAATTCGTAGATGTTTTTTTAAAGGTGAAATAGAACACTGTGTACATGGTATTGTTTGGAATTTATTGTTGCTATGTTAATTTATTAAAACGAGGTGTGCGTAGTTCGTAGATTCTTTCTCTGCATAGATTGTGCAATTCGTAGATTTGTTTTTAAGTTAAAACATATCGCTGTGTACATGGATTCTTGTGAAATATTTTTAATTAGAAACTTTACGTTTTTGCTATGTAAATTTTTTGTTTTTGTTTCAGATTTTTAGCTTAAATTGTGTGTTCAAAACTTGGTTTTTTGCATGTGCGAAAACCGCGTTTTTGGAGACATTTTAGGTTTAAAGTTTGAAAGGTAGACAAAAAATTGAGATAGTAATATGGCACCATGGAGTTTCTCGCGAAAAATGTTTGGCGAGAACTTTTCCGACTTAAAGATGCATACAAGAGTAGTTCCGAAAGGGTAATTATTTCATTTACATACATGAATTAAAATTATTTACCCTTCAATGAAAATAAAGAGAATATTTTATACAATCCCCGAAAAAAAATCATATTCTTAAAATAATGCTATTTTCAACAAGGTAAAACAGGAATCTTCTTTTGGTTTAGATTTTAAATAAAGCTCTACAGATTTTGACAGCAGTCAGACAAATGTTCCTCTGCTCCTAAAGCAGATCTGTATCTAATCGCCCTCAAAATGGAGTTTTATTTAAAATATACACCAAAATAAAGTTGATGATTTACTTAATTTCAAGGCCATTTTAGTTTGCTTTATCATTATTCATTTTAAAATGGTTTTAAAAATAAAATATGTTATGGTTTTGATATCAGTGCAATAAAACTTAAGTGTTTTTTTTTATTTTATTTTATTTTTTTTTTAGGAATTTTATGTAATTCTTATGTAGTATTTTTTCATTTCATTCTGTAATTCTTATTACGTAACATAAAATGCTGGTCCGTGAAAATTTCATAGTTGTTTCCATGAAACACTTCAAAAATAATTTCAATAAAGTCTTACGCCAATTTTCAGAAAAATAATTAATATTCATCGTAAGTGCTGAAAAAAATTAATATTCCCTTAATGCCATGAAATTTTCTAAAATTCGTAGCAATAATATTTGTTTATAAAGCAATTCTAATACATGATAAAACAGTTAACAAAAATATTCTTTCTTCATTAAAGGGAAGAATCATCATAAATTTGGCAATATCTTTGTCAGAGTTGAAAAAAAGCTGCACTAATAATCAGTGCCATCTTTACAACATTACTCCGGGTAAACCAGTGAGCTGGGTGCCTGGGAAAACCAATGAAATGTAAATGGATTAGCGCAGGGCCCCTTTGCTTGTGAGGCCCTCAGGCCACTGCTCAGCCGGCACAAGCATTAAAATGGTCCTGCTAATATAGGAATTAGCACCGTTAAAATCATTATAATGAAAGCAAACAAATCTAAGTTTTTAATTCACCGCGATTTTAATAAAATATATAAATCGCAAAAAATCTTCCGAGGTCACTCAGATTGGCGAAAGGTTTAGCTGGCACCTTAAGCCGAAAAAACGCTTGTTTAATTAATTTCAGGGCGCATGGGCACTGTTCTATTCCTAAAATAATAGGTAAAAGATGTATAAAAAAATAAGACATTTGAGAGTTAAAATACAGGTCTGTTAGACCAATATTTATACAATGCTATTTTACAAAATACGCCAAAAGCACATCAATTTTATTGCAAATTGAAAACGGATGCTTACAGTTTGAAAGTACCTAATAATCATACGAATACCAGTAATGATACGAATCTAATTTTATGCAATACACATAAGGAAACATGAAACAATTTTTTTCACTTAATTTAAATACCAGAAAATTTATTGGAAAGATTTCTCTATAAAATGTGAGACTAGACGTAATAATTCTACGGAACAAACAACAAACTTCATCCGTGAAAATTAATTACATATTTCAAAAATACATACCATGATTGTTTAAAATATTAGAAAACAAATGCGGATTGTCAGATTAAATAAATGAAAGATTTATTTTCAACACGCAGCAACTAACAACGAAACACGGAGTATAAAGTCCACACGACGAACAAATATCTTCAACGTTGCACCACAATAATCGTCTTTTAACTCGATGGAATAAAAATAATCAAAGGGTTATATAATAATTATAGGATAGGTTAATCATATGTATCTTAAACGGAAGAAACTGTTAATAATAATAGAAATTTCAATATTATTCTTTGCCACCTGATTTGACTTGTAACTATGTCATAAGAAAAGATGAGAGATGAGACGTTCAATCGCTAAATTCTTTTCCCATGCTCCATTCTCGTTCAGTGCATTTCGTTTCATAAAAGGCACGCAAACGAAGGCTGACTTGAACTATAGTCTCAGATTAGGTGGAAAAAATAAATGCCATACATTGTGGATGCCACGAATTACGACCTGGAATTAAGGTGCTGGTAACGGTCTTGAAAGGTCTGTTTCAGAGCAACATTCATAAAATAGTTTGGTCTTGGACAAGTCTGTCAACTCAATATTTTCTGATCGTATGCTCTTTGATACGTATAAAGATTTTGCCACGTATTCAAAGATGCTACAAATATTTTTTAACTAAATAATTAAGTTATTTTTCACGGCCAGTATTCGTACGTAATTTCATGAATACCAGAATAACACATGAATTCTGTTTTGCACCAATGGCTTCAATTTTTTTTTCATATCTCTTCAAATCCAGTAAATTTTTATTAGAATCAGTTCATAAATCTACAATTAAATCAATATCTTGTAGATTCTTTTGGATGTATTTTGACGAGTGGGATAAAGTACCCGCCATTTTCAATCTGGGCACTGATAACTTCTAAGGTGCTTTTTAGTGATTTCGATGTACTGAACCTTGTGTTGACACATTTTTCGAATAACGGTTTCACACCCCTTTTCTCAGTACCTGCAAACTGATGTTTCAGTATTTTCAAACTAGAAATGTCACCTAACTCATCACATCAGCTTCGTCGTTCTTTACGAGTTTTTCTAGTATTCCTATATATCAGTAGACACGACACTTCTGAGCTACTGTACCATTTTAAAATCCTACTGTGAGTTACCAGCCAAAAATTAAAATTTTTTTAAAAGAAATCTTACATGTGTTTATTGCCTATAAACTTACCTTCCTAGTAAATATGAAACAAATTTTGATTAAACTGCATATAACAAAAAGAAACTGAAATTAAATTGTACATAAGAAATTTGCTAATAAATAACAAATGTAATGACAGATTCTTTGATGGATGATGATTTTGAGATCAAACTTTTTTTTTTTTTTTTTTTTCGCGAGAGCTGGTAGTGGCTGCCACTCAAATACAGTTGTTCAAGTGTTCATCAGCGAGTCTGTTTCATTACTTATTTTTAAATTTCATACTGGAAAAATAAATCTCAGATATGTAGAGCTGGATATTGCCTTCACCTTGAGACAAACCTGGACCAACATTGGGTATTTTCCTTTAGGAACAAGAGGCTAAATATTTTCAGAGCTTGAAGAAAGTGATTTTACACAAATATTGTCTTGGAAATCATTCAGTTCCAACTCCACTGCAGTACTATCTTCTTGAAAATCAAAATGCTCTATAACACGAGTAGAGAACTCTTCAGCATGAATCTCTATAAAGGAAATTTAACAAACAATCCAAATTCTTTTGAAATCTTGGAAGCACTATTTTCCAAGATTACTACTACTACTCATTACTTTCTTACTACATGATACACTTGCATAGCACAGTAAACACACACATATGTCATTTACCTGGGTAAAGAAGTAATCAGTTTCCCATTCCCAATGAAAGTGATAAGTTTTTTGCTTGAACACGCCATCATCGTTAGAACAGACCTAGCTTAGTACCGATGCATAAATCAAACTATCCAAGTTAGCAAATGTCTAATATACACACAAAAAATACAATATGCACCTCGTGCATATACAGTCAAGTACGAGATGAGGCTGACAATAGGAGTAGCGCGAGAGAAACAAGCAGTTGTCATCAGTGTCAGCTCAGTGGAGGAGTCAAGGTTAGCCAACTCGAGCATTAAGTGATCTACCAAAAATATACCCGTGAGCTAATAGTAGCTCGTGACCGACAGTTTGGTGATCCCTGCTATATATCATAATACCTTTTGTTGCCATTAATCTGGCAATAAAATACTAACTGAAATTGCATATAGATTTAAAAAACCCAATGAATGAAAGAAATGTCCTTAAGTTTCTCTTTTAATTGGTACGGTATCTATCTTTTTGGCATCTCTTACAAAATCTTCAGTTTTTATCACAAATGTATCAGACCTATTCCATGTATACCATTATAAGTCTAATCTTCTTCATTCCATAGATTTTCGAAATTCTCTTCGTTTGTTTTCCACTTTCGCATGTTAAACCAACCTTCTTTCAATATTTTCCGATTCTTCATCTGCTCCAGCGATTAAGTTGTCAACATATACATTTCCAGTTAACCTGGAAAATACAGCCGAGCACCGTGACCTATATTTCTTAACATGTACACGAAGAGTTGCTCTGAGAAGAAACAGACTATGGATATTGCTCTGAAAATTACTTGTCATGCAAAGAGACTTAATTTTATTTTGGTTTCATTAATTAACAATTCTTCCAAGGAAAATTCACTGTGATTCTATCTTCATCAGCAAGAGAAATTTGCAAGAATGCTTGCTCGATATCAACTGTAAATGCAATTCACTTCCGACTGAATTTAAGGAACAATTGCAGCATGTCCAGCGCAGTCCAAAAATTATGCACGTAGATTATAAAAGATGATTCCCAACACTGCTGGTGTACCATGAATTAGTGCTTCTCCCCGAGTTCTAAACAGAAGAAACATCCCATTGCAGGATGTCACGACTTTTGTGAGCATGCCATGCATAACCCATCCTTCACATCAAGGATCATCAACACTGGTAAGTCTTGAACCTGTGTATACAACCATGAGATAACATTATAATGAAAGAGCGTGACAAATTGGCCTGGCAGGAAAACATATACCCTCCCTAAGGTCCTATACAAAGAACTTATCATTGCTGTCATCATCATAAAAAATAATTTTATAGATTAAAAATATACCTTTGCATAAAAGTAACACTATTCATATATATATATATATGGGGATGTGCTTCTTTTTACAAGTAATAATGGCAAGATCACGCGACCATTTTCGGCAGAGAAGAAGGATGATGAAGTTTGAAAATCCAAAAGAATTATTTTTATGATGTGATTCCGCTTAATATGATGCCATGGAAAGACCTTTTTTCTTCTTATTTCATTTTATTTGTTGTCTTCATGTTAATTATGTTCTTGTGTTTTTGCCAGTAAATTACTAAATGTCACTACCACTGTCATCAATAGGATTGTTCCTATAGTTCATAAATACAGTTACATCCTACATTGGCTCTCAACCCTTTTGAACTCTCTTTTCACTAACCATAGCCTCTAATTGAAGTCCTGTGGAATACTACAATTAAAATACCATTTGATGTCTCTCATCAAACACAGGAAGAAAATGCTGCAGTTGCCATTGCTGTAATAAATCGAAACTGTAAGTACAATGTTTGAATTACTTGCCTGTTATTCATGAATGATAATTTTATTTGATGATGCTCACTTGATGAAGTATTATCATTTTTTAAAAACAATAAAGTCATTTGATGTTAACTTTATTTGATGATGTTCAGTTGATGTTGATATAATGAAAAAATATTAAAAGGGAATGAAAGCTGTTTAATTGAAAAATTAAAGGTATCAAATTTGACAAAATGTATTTAACTTCTGAAAATATTATTTTGAAGAATTTTTTGATGCAAATTTTAAACAGTTGCTAGTTCGATGATTCTTTCAATCTTCAATACTTTCATTTTTAACCAACAAACTGTTGTGCTCATTTCCTTTAATGCATATATTTTGAAAGTATTATAAAATGCTATTAGTTCTTTAAAGATATTTTGATATAGTATCTCGAAGTGAAATTTTATTTTCAATAGAAAATAAAATTTTTATGCCAACACTATAAGGAATCAGCTACCAAATAATTAAAATAAATTTAATGATAGGCTCTGTTCTCATGCCAGTTATGAATTAAAAAAGAAATTCTATTAAATGATAAAACTTTATTTAAACATTGTTATCCATCTATTAGCAATTTCTTAAGGTGTATTTTAGAATTTGATTGAACGTACGAAATTTGAGTGTTTTAGCATTATAATTATTAATATTTCTTTAAGAATATTTGTGTGATAATTTCTTGAAACTGATAAATAATGACCACCCTAACGATTATTAAAAATTTACCAGTACACAACAGATCAAATACAACAGATACATGCTACCTTGTCGACCAAAGGTGGATATTTCAGCAATGGTCACCAATCACAACTGCAGAATTTTAAAAGTACACAATCATCAACAATTGGCATCAAATTGCGCTACTTGGCTAGTTAACAGAATAATATTAAGTACCATTTTTTTTATTAAAATGGTAGTGCACATCTTAATATATTTCCAATCCACTATGCTATCTGTATTATCAAATAATGAAGAATTTGTATGCATGCATGTCTATCGACTTTCCATGTATTGTTGGGGGGGGGGGGAACAGTAGAACACAGAGCAACCAAATTTTGAACACACACATCTATCAGTCTAAGGGGTGGGATACCTTTGTGAAGGATTTTCTACAGGACACTGATTTGTATTTACATTACATATATGATGAAAAACTCCATGCAGTCAAACGAGTTTACCTGCGTCAAACTATCAATATTCCGTGAGCTTATCTTCTGCACTACTGGGGCTGTTTTGCAGCTGAAAGAAAAAGGTATGCATGTGAACGCATGTCACATCAAACCATGGCTTTTAATTTATTTTTTTTCTCAGTTCTGATAGGATTAAACAATTAGTAGACTTTTGTTTAATAACTAGAGTTTATCCGAAAACATTTCAAAGATTAGAATCTGACTTTATACTTAAAAAAAAAAAAAAAAAAAAAAAAAAAAAAAAAATTCAAAATAGGAAAAGAAAAAAAAGGGGAATAGATTTTTATGCCAACACTATAAGGAATCAGCTACCAAATAATTAAAATAAATTTAATGATAGGCTCTGTTCTCATGCCAGTTATGAATTAAAAAAGAAATTCTATTAAATGATAAAACTTTATTTAAACATTGTTATCCATCTATTAGCAATTTTTTAAACAGTTTCTTGCAATAAATTTTTCAGCTGAAATGCACTTAGTGAAGCCTGTCTGCCAATTTTCAGTGAATGTTTTGACATTTTTATGAAAACTATTCTAGCTCTACAATCTTGTGTTTGAAATTTACTTTTCATGAATTTTTCATTTTTTTTTTTTTTTTTTTTTTTTTTTTTTTTTTTTGTAATGGCAACAAAACTGTGTGCCAGTGCAATTTGTCACCAAATCTATATTTAAAGCTCAAACCTTTAGCAAATGCTTTATTTTACCACTTGAATTAGCTCACTTAATCAGATAAAAAAACAATTTTTCTTTTTCTGCAATGCGAATTCTGTTATCGTACATTTTTAAGTTTGGTGCCTCATCAACACTCTACCTATTTATCAACAACAACAGCAACAAACAAACAAAAAAAAAAAAAAAAAAAAAAAAAAAAAAAAAAAAAAAAAAAAAAAAAGGTGATTTTCAAATTTCAAGGTATTTTTTCCTAACAAATATAAATAGTCTTATTATGTGGTATGATTAAAATAACAATAATACATTGAAATTTTTCTTTTCAAAAAAATACCATTAAAAAATAAAGGAATTTCATTTGAAGCTACCATATTTGAAAATTTCTTTTTTTAAAATCATTTTGGTGATTTTTTAATATTCTGAATGTGAAATCTAAACAAATGCAATAAAATATAAAAATGCACAATTTTTAAATGACTATTTAATAATTGCAAAAATGCTATTGTTAGAATCCTGAAATTAATTTCATTTGTGCAATTTTACATTTTTATAAAAAGGGTTTTTTTTCTCTCTATAAATGTTTAAAACTATTATAACATGTGCAAGTTTTCTTTTTAAAATTCATTAAATCCCCCCCCTAAATCTAGTTAAATTATCTGATTCTTTCACACAGCTGGCAGGTATGATAATCTTTCCTACTGCCCCAGAATAACTTTTCTTCGTACAGAAGGTAAAACAATATTTTAATATTTAGATGAATAACAAAAAACTATGATTTTGTATTAGACCAATGCAAAAATGTAATCATGTGTTTATATTAGGTGACTTAAAAGACCTGTCATTATGTTTAATATTAGCATGGTCAAAAATCCAAGGCTTAGAAAGAAAATACTTTTTTCAATATTTTTCAATGAACAGATAAAATGTTGGATAAATTTTATTTTCTCCTCACATTTATTAGTAATAATCTGCCTTAATACAGAAAGTTGATATCCTTTTATGAATTTTGTACATATAATTATGTATTCAATCTTGAGTTCAAGAGTAAAATTGCAGACCACCATGAATATTTATATGAAGTAATTTCAACTTCATTTAAATGAAGACATTTTTCAAATTAAATTTTGAAAACTCAATCTCACAGCCGACACAAGGAAATGATTCAAATTCAAACATTTGGCCCTCTGAGTTATACAATTTTCTTTTAATGCATGGACATAAAAGTTGATTTATGAAGTGTTTCTTATTTAATTAAATGTGTATATCTACACACATAAAAACTCACAAAGACAAAAAAGAAATTTCTGAATGTGAATAGCATTTTAAAATACATATATGTACACATAAAGTAATAAAACAGAATTTTATAACTACAGTACAAGATCTTTAAAAATTTCAGTCGATATTAAGTATATATTTTTTGAAGACAACCAAATCAAACAACATTGAGTATAAATTTGATTTTAATTGATCACACATTTCAAGAATTACTCATATGATGGTAATGTACATTTTGCTGATATATGTGATACACTTTTGAAATACCAAAATATATATTGTGAAAATATTTTGTATATTGAGTAGAATGCTGCATCAGTGGTAATTACAATGCATAATATGAAATTATATGCATTATATGTACATGAACACCACAGTAAAAATTAGCAATGAAAATTTTCATTCTCAAAACTTCTTAATGATTAACAAAATGGTACAGAAATAAATTTTCAATTGTACAAGAAAATCATTGTATTTTTCTATCAAATACAAGAAAATATGTACAAAAACATGTCATATACAATGAAAACATATTTACAGGCAGTTAAAATAACGTACTCACAAATTTGCACATTGAAGTTTTGTGCTATTTCAATGAAATTAATTATGAAAGTTCGTATCACAGTTTTTTCAAAATACCCCAAGGTAAAATGGAGACAAAACACAACACACTGACATAATTGAATACAAAATCTCTTCATCAATACCTTCATAAAAAGTTTATATGCATGATGACAAACCACATGCAAGAAAATTAACAGGAAAATAAACTAAAACTACAAATAAGTTGTTAACAATCATATTATAAAATTTTTGAAATATTATGTTTAATTCTTTCATAATCTAAGAGCATTATAATATGTAAAACATATTTTTTAACATTTACTTCAGATAAAAACATATCTGTTTGATTAAAAATCTCAAATGCTCGTTTATGAGGATTTATAAAACTAAACACAGGAATGTTCAAAATAACAGAAACAAGGTCTTAGATTAGCTAAAACAGCTTCAATAAATTAAACTAAAGCTGAAAATTTCAATATTTCATTAAAAAAAGGAAAATGTATCTTATGATAAGAAATCAATTATAAAAAATTTAATCTGAAACATTTATGTTGGAGGGGGACTGAAAAAAAAATTATTTAAACTGCAATTGCATCATATGTAGATTAGACACATTTAATAATGATAACGTTGAAATTTTCAGCAACTTAACATTTCTATATGCAAAAATATATCAACTCTACAAATTTAAACAAACCATTAATGTACAAAGATCCAGATTAAAAAATGATCAAGTATATCTTCCTTACAGAAAACTGTAGTGTAGAAGAATATGTACAATAGGGTATTTACAATTCAAAACCATACAGAAACATAAGGTTTGATGAATAGATATCTATGCACAACTCTTAATACAGCATTTTATGTATTTTTAGAATTTTCCCAAGTCTTTGTTTAGCAGTGGCAAAACCTTTCTTCGGCTTTTTGTTCACTAGATTAAAAAAATAAAATAAAATTACTACAAATATCTCCCCCATAAACATATTGGAAAAAAAAATGAAGTACTACTAACATTACAGACTGACTAACAATGCAGGAAACTGCAGATATATTGATTAAATATATTACAGAATGATAATGCATTTCCATAAAAGCATAAAAAATCCTAGAAATATAACATATCAAAAAATATTTTATCAATATGACGTTTTCCTAAAAATGCAATTTCCTGTTCCTACTAAAGCAATTTTACAAAAATTAATTTCATATGACTCAGATATTTCATTATTTGGTCCTTCTCCAGCTCCACCGTTTGGTGAAATCAAATAAACAGTAGAACTCTATTTACTGGATTTTTTAAATCCTAGAATAAATGTCTTGAATTTTATTTTCATGAACAGAGAATACAGGACACCTTTTTATTCATATTACTAGTAAATAAATAAATAAAATGAATAAAATCAAACACTGAAAGACACTTAACAAGTATTTCTTAAGCAACACAGTTATTAACAGTAGTAGTACTGCTATTTAAATAAGTGAGTAGCAAGAATTTATTTCAAAGTATTTTCAAATAAATAATAATAATAATATAATATGGTATAATATATGCTATAGTATCAGACTGTAGCAGATATTATACCATATTTCTTCCTTTTCTTCTATTTTATATATATATAAAACAGGCACTATAAGGACAACATCTTTCCCCCAGCCGAGTCTCATAACCATAGTAATGGCTACTGCAGAAAAATGGTCGAATCCTCTAATTCGCTAAAACTTCCATGTTCCCTCTGAGCTGTGATGATGACATGTTACAACTGTTAATAAGGACAGAGCTGCTACTGCTTAAAGCGCTCATTTTAAAGTAACAGACCTTTATTTATTTACTTTCATTGCATATAATATGTTTCATCTTATTCAATTTAAATTCTTAAGGGGCATTTCTACTGGGGATTCTGAGTTAACGGGGACAACTAACTTAGCTGACTCGTCTCCAAAACCTGTTTTTTTTTTTGCCATAGGGCAGCAAGTTGAAAAATCTGAACTGCAGGCATAGTGGAGCTAGTCGACACAGAGAACTTATTCTGTTAGCTCAGATACACCCCACTGGGAACGGCCTTTTAGATCTTTTTAGATGCTTTTGAAGATTTATTTGTTTTTAATCACTTTCTTAGTTCAAAGATGAGAACAAATCAATATATGAATTTTGTTCATATACAATAAATGCAAAGTAGAGTTACTTTCCAAGCTGCGCAAAGTTATCTATCAGCAGATTAGTAGTACCCATGTACAATACTAATGTTGAACAAAATAATCAACAATTTATATATACATTTCACTGCAAGAGACACAACCAATATTTATTTTTCAATAGACAAACATTTTAATAAGCCAATGTAGATAAACTGGCATTATATGCATGTCTGCTCTTGAAGAACTACACTGGTATGGATCATAGTTTTGAAATATGTTCGAAGGAGCAAGCTTAGCAGGTCTAGCAACAAGAAGCAGAAAGTGAGTGTCATGTATTCCAAGATGAAAGCTTAGTTCAAACTGAAAAAGTTATAATTTATAATTTTCTTATCAGCAATTCAAAGTTTTGATATTGGTTGTTTATGTTTATCAACATTATATAAAGGATAGATAGGGGAACTATCCAAATTCAAAAAGATAATTAAGGATCTATCGCAAATTAAAGTTTGTATTAGAACTTTAATATTTTTTTAATCTTACACACACATATGTGTATATATATGTATATATATTCTCAAATTTAGACTACTGAGAGTGAAAGGAGTTCTCAATTTCATTTTGTATGTTCTAAATAGGTTTTTCAACTATATCTTAATTCATTGGATTTTCTGTTTAAAGATTAACTTTTAAAATTTTTCACGAAGTATCTTGTTTTTTCACTTTTGTTTTCAATTCTTTTAAAGGGATAGAATTCTCTTTATTTAAAATTATTCTAATGTTTCTAATTAGAATTTTTTCATTGCTTTGGGGGAGGGCCAGAATTTTCGGGTGAACTATTATAATTATAATTTAAATACACTGAAATGGTTCATCGGCTAATTCTGGATTCAGAAAAGCAAGGATTTTTGTAGAAGAGAGATTTCAATTAATTTCAAAGTTCCTCTCCCCTGATGAAGTGACATTGAAATTGATTGAATTCCTCTTCTGTTTTTGTTAATTTTTCTTTAAATTTCATAATTTTAGAGGGGTTTTGCTTGTTTGAAATGTTTTGGTTTTAACATTTTTAAATTTCAATTTCTGGTCTTTGTGAAATATTAGTTCTAAATTTCTTACTTTACATCTTTAATGATAATTTTTCTGCAGCTTAATGCGTGGAAATAACTAGGCATTTTTGTGTATTGTTTTCAAAAGAATTGTTTTGTAATTATAAATATATATATATATAAATTGTCATATATTTGTTAATATATTAAAAATATATCACAATTAATACACTTATTATTTATATTATTACTAGGTATATGATTCTATTTCTTTAAAATATTTTAGCAATATCTAAACTATAAATGCTATTTTTTAAATTACTGGTGCAAATCTAGCCTGAAAAACTGTTATTGGAAAAAATTATTATGAAAATTGCAGTTTTATTCCATGAACATCATGAAAATTTTCCATTTATTTCTTGTGATAAAATTACTTCCCTATTTGCATGATCTGCTTCGTGTGAATAAATTTCTTTGTTTGAGTAACATAGAAGTAAAATAAGCTTTTAGTTTCAGGGCTTACATAAATAAAAATTAGATTGCTTTATTTTATCTGAAATGGAAATAGGTTATTAAAAAGTATCATTCAATTTCGTTGCAATAAAAGTCTTTTGCTTTCTGTTTAATGAATATATATAAAGTGCATTCACATTTAGAAACATAACAACACACAAGAACACAAAGTACCCTCATTTATGGTACAGTAAAATTTGGGATGTATTTGTCTTGAAGAACCAAGATTATATTTCAGTACTTAATTATACCAAATATGGATCAAGATTTCTTATAACAAAGTCATTAACACTGATGTTTAATACTAATACAGTCAAAAGTCGTTAATTCGGACACCCATAATTCGGAATGATCTATAATCCGGACATCAAAACTAAAAACTTTCTGCGCATGCGCCGTGTTGACACATGCGCAGAGGCGTTCACGCGTGCGCGTAAGACCTTTTACGACTGCGCATATGAGTGTGCGCAAGTGCAGAATACGTTTTCGCGCGCGCATTTTATGTATAATGGGCGTATAAGCTAAATAATTATCTATTTCAGTTAATGTTGATGATAGCGTTGTTCCTTAATTTTCGAATTGCATCCGGCTTATTATTTTTGCAGACTGTAAGAGCAATTTATAAAAGTAAGCTTAAACTTTCGATTATATCAAAGTAGAATTTCCGATATATATTTGTTAATATGTAAAGGATCTAAAGCGAAAGTAGTTTTGAAATCCGAAATTGTTTATCAATTTCACGCTGCTCGGCGGCGGGCGCGTAATGAATTGGAAGTTGATTTGTCAGCACTATCCTTATCTTCAGCGCAGATGTTTTTATTTTATTTGGCTTATAATTCCTTACCAAATGTAGTATTTCATCTCGATATGCTTCGTCTTTGATATGATTTAAAACAAGTTCCTCGTCATTATAATTTCGCTTCGATTCGTCCGAAAGCGAAGAAAGTGACAGAGGTTATTGAAAACAAAAAAATTTCGATTGACAAATTAGTCGGTATTTTCAACACAGCAATTATAGGACTTGAACGGCGGGAGGAACTTTGTAACTGAACAAGAAATTATGTCTGTTTAATAGAATTAAAGAGAAAGTATTATCACATGAAACTAAGCAAAACTTAAACAACTTACATTGAAGAAATGTTTTAATAAAGTAAACAAATAAATATTAAGCTTTTTCTTTTTGAAAATTTTGATACCCTTTAGATCATAATTGTTCTTATTTCATAAATTACGGTTTCATATTTTAATTTTATAATTTCTGCATGCCATCTTACGAGATTTAAACTGATGATCTATAATCCGGAAAAATCGATAATCTGGAATCGCCGAAGTCCCGACGAGTCCGGATTAACGACTTTTGACTGTACTTGCAATTATAATTTCAAATAAACAATTTTTTATTTAATAAAACACTTAAAATTTATTAAAAAGTACCATGAGATTGAACTATATCCACTGGGAGGGACAAGATATTACTGCACATACCTTTTGGTGGCTCTACAGGAAGATGGCGCTTGTTGCCATTCCAAAGAGGGTTTGATGGACCTGCTTGTTGATCTTGGGTTACCACTTTGTTCTTCGTGACTGGCTTTTTCTTTAAATACTGCCTTTTTTGTGGCTGATAAAGAGATCATAATTTAAAAATTTAAAATGAAAATTTTTCCTGTTAATAATGTTTGAAATAAAATGCAGGTTTTATTCAAAATCTATGATAAACCCAGGTTGCTTTTGTGCTTAATTTTTAAAAAAAAAGCAAGTTATAAAATCAAATTAAACATAAATGAAAGTATTTCATACTTCAGTAAAATAAAAAGAAATTAAAATGCAAATAAAATATTATGAATTAGTTAAATAAATCTAAAATTAATTTAACATTGATATAATTAATATCATTTTTAAAGAAGAAACCATGCATCTAATAGGTTTTTTAGATATACCATTACTATCTAAAATTAAATGAATTGGTACTTACCACATGCAAATTTCTTGTAAGTTTTTATATTTTAGTTCCTAATTTGCATAAGTTTTATTAGTGATAAAAAAATTTTTCATCCTTTTTAGTTACAAAGATGTTGAAACTAAACTTATTAGACAATAAGTTAAAGAAAAAACATGGCATTTTCTATGCCTCTGTAGTATAAAAGTATTAGCATGCAGCGGATTCATGGCAGGTTGACCAAGAAAGAAGTCCCTGCTGACTAAAAAATCTAAGTCCAAATTATACATAAAAAACCTTCCAGTTGGCCTGTGAAGAACTGGAAAATTTGAATTTGTTAGAAGAATCAAAATTCAATCTGCATTACCCCAAATGCAAACCAATTGTTTCTAGCATGAAGTCCCCCCCCTCTCCCCAGATTATCTCTCCCACAATGAAGCATTTTCTGGATGTGATGCTATTGAGATTGGTCATTTAAGTATCCCAAAGAGATATTTTAATCAATGAATTCCAAGAACATCGGGTGATGGAATATAGTATATTTCAGTATTGCTGATTTCTTTTTCAAAGATTCGAAACTGAAAGTTATTCTTTTCTTAATCTAGCAGCTGAGTATTGACACATTTCAGCAGTTCCTAGAACCACAACCATAATCCATTTAACTGTCTCAGCATTAATAATGCTATTCAACATGCAATGCAGAAAGCAATTGACAACATAATACATGAAATGGGACAGAGAGCAAATGGACAACCAAGCCTTGCATAGGATTTACATTTATTCTTCAGCAGTTGCATGACAGCCAGGCTTTGCTTGACATCACAGTTAAACAAGGCAATAAATATCATTCAAACATGAAATAAATACCATTCCTGACATTCTAACTAAACACCCAGAAATACATTTTAGCACAGCATGATTACCTGTTATAACTATGCCTTATTTTTGACTAAAAGTACTTCAGAGATATCTTGTCTCATATCCATCATTTCCCACCATCAAGCTTCCAAGAGTACTTCTGGGCATCAGAGATTTTAAGTGCCTGTATTTCACAAAGACTCAATAATTACAAAAATCCATATCTTATTAGAGATGAGTCCGAGTTTAGGGTTTGTAGATTATGGCAAAGCACTCCAACAACTAACAAATTCAAGCATAACTTGAGCTCAACAAGTAACAACAAATCTCTGCTAATGACCATACTGTGCCATTATTGGTGTGGCACTATTTACTTTTGATTACAATACAAATTTATATGCACGGCAGCTTTTGAAGAACTTGATACTATGAAAGTATAATGAACATTTTTTACAAGGAAAGTGAAGGAAAGTATTCGCATTATTTTTTCCTCTAAATTGTACGTCCACCACTCAGCCTATGAATATTGGAACAGTGAGCATGCTGAAATGCAAATACAAAGTAGCATTTTTAGAGTCCATATTAAATTTCTTGAATAATGGCAAGACTATTCAAGAATTCTTGAAATATTTTAGCATAAAATCTGCTGTGTGAAGCATTGCAAAATCGTGGGAGGATGTGTCTCCAGATACTTTAAAAAATGCCTGGCATGATTTATGGCTAGCTATTATATTTCATGATGAAGATGGTGTTATATTTTATCGTGATTTCAAGGTGTTTACATTTCACGGTAAAGAAGCAGTGAATTCGAAGGTTTTTTGATATCGCAAACCAAAGGTGAAATTTTCTAATTAATGCATTTTATAAAAATGTGGAGAAGCAGTAATAAATGATGATATAACAGAAGTTTTTCATTGCGATGACCATGCCCCAATTATTAATCAATTAACGAACGGCGAAATTCTTCTGTATGCTTCTAGATCCAGAAAGATCCTATCACTACCGATAGGAAAGAAAGTGACAGAGAGGTTATCAAAAACGAAGAAATTTCAACGGACATGTTAATCTGAATTCTCAGCACAGCAATTATAGGACTTGAACAATGGAACTTTATAACTGAACAAGAAATTAGATCTGTCTACAGAATTAAAGAGAAAGTATTAGCACAAAAAATGAAGCAACTCAAACAACTTACATTGAAAGAAATGTTTTATAAAGTAAACAAATAAAAATTAAGCTACTTTTTTTTTTTTTTTTTTTTTAATTTCAGTGCCCTTTAGATCATAAATCACAATTTCATATTTTTATAATTTCAATATGCCATATTCCTAGATTTAAACTGACGATCTAATATCTGGAAAAACCCTAAATCCGGGATTTCTCAACAGGACATTATAAAAAGTCCTGATGAGTCCAGATCTCGGACTTTGTACTGTATAGTGTTTTTAGCAACTTTTTTAATTTAAAAGTTTTTTTTAATTAACTACAATTTATTAAATGTGAAAATATTTCAAATAAAAAATTCAAGAGTATGGTAATAGGATACATAAAATATTTAATCATGATTCATTATAAATATTTAATCATAAGGAATTGGATCTATTCTAGAAAGTACACTTACTGGCATGGTTGCTAATTTAGCAGCTGCTGCGGCCAAACCACATTCTATGGCTTCTTTGCGAGTACCCTCACGGACTGGACGTTCTGGTTTTGGACAGTTTGGAACTAATTTGGCTGAAATAATATGATGAATATATAATTCAGAACTTAATTATAAGTTATCCTTTATAAACTGAACTAATTTTCAAACATTCACCTTTGGGATTCCAAGGTTCATCTCGCCTACTTCTTCCACGTGGTTTAAACACATGACATTCGTCATCTGAAGCATCCAAACCCAAATATACTAAAAATGGGAGAGGGAAAAAGTATTAAAAAAAATTTTTTTTTCACTTCAAAATATTTAAAAAAGTTAAATAAAGCTTGATTAATACATTAACAGTGAAACCATTAACCCCTGTTTATAACATAAAAAAGCTTTGTTGATTAACTGATTATGGTGAAGTCCATAAGTGCTATCTGCCTTAACAGGCATTCTTCATGAAAGACTCTAATGGAATACAACTTATACTTTTTCCCTTGCAATTATTAACAACATACATGAGGACATAAAATCATACTTTACACAGAATGCAGCAGCAGATGGACCGAACAAGCCCAGTTTAATGATAACATAAAATCTTCTACCAACATTAATAAACTAAAACTTAAATAATTAAAATAATGAATATCATCATCAGCTAGAAGTAATATGAAATTCATTATAGAAAATTAATGAAATTTTGAGAAGTTACAAATATACAGATTAAATTCAACAATGAAAATGACACACTGAAGAAATAGATCCAGCTAACAGTCAAAATGCATCCATTCCAAAATGAATTTAGGTAAGAAAGAAGGTTTGTAAGGAGTTGTAAAACTGTGATATGTTTGTTTTGCACATAAATTTCAAACATCCTGCATAAAAAGTTTAGAAACATTAAATCCAGACATGTGCAAATCTATGTTTTTACACAGCATAATGTCATTTGCTTAAAATTTTCTTAATTAGATGTTATAGATAAAAACATTTATGCAGAGAACGGTGACATGGTAACTATAAAGAACTGTGAGGGAAAAGATTAACAATACCTTTAAAAAAATACTCTTTGAAATTAAAAATACTGTGGGAGAACCTGTTTTCTAATTTAATAATTAGTTGCATTATATCTCCCTCATTCATCAGAAGCAACTTGAAGAATATTCCAGTAGTGGCAATGAATAGGAATTTATTACAAAATCAAGTACACATTTCCTCAACTAATGGATTTCTTCTGGCAAAAAGAAAATTAAAACATTCATCAGCTACATATTTTAATACTTCTGAAAAGTTAATTAGAAAAATCTGATAAAAACAATAAAGGCAACATTATTTTTAGAGCAATAAAAAATCAAACTAAAAATTGTATGATAAGTCATAAATTAATATACAATTAAGTGCTAGAATTACAAACATGTATTTGCTATTAGTGACTGTTAACTGTAGCGATTAAGTTTTGAATTTGTAGATGACTACAAAAAGGCATTTCAACATTTTTCTTCTCCCATTTGTTGAACGTGAGTTAATTTAGCAATTCTGTATCAATTCATTTATGTTAATACAGTAATATTATGAAATGCCTTTTATGTGAAATAAAAGAAAGTGAAACAAAAGCAAATAAGAATTTAATATATTTCTTTTAAAAAATCTAGTACCCTACATAACCTGGTATAAAATACTTTTATTAGATGGTCAACTTATTCACCCACTGGTTGGCCAAAAATAATCTTCAACTAAAGCACATAATGAATAATACAGAAAAAAGGTCTATTGATGTAACTACAACATTCCAATTCAGAAAAATTTTATTGCCAAGATTAATTATAGAAAAATCTGATGCGGACACCACATGACTTCCTTGCACAGCCTATTAAATTATGCACATTTTTTGCTGCACTTCATTTAAACATATTTTCTCAAATTTCATTAGAAATATATTTCTCATTCAATCAATTAGTTCTCATTTCAACTGAAATCATCTTTAAAAATTATCTATTAAAACTCAGAGAGCACCTTCGTTAACTAGTAACACACACATACACACACACACACAAAAAAAAAAAAAAAAAAAAAATCTAAAAGATGACATACAGCTAAAAAAATATTTTTGCAATTAAAATGAGACTTCTGCACAAAAATTTGTCCAGCGAGCAGGAAGACAAAGTTTTCAATGCACAAAACTGACTTAATTCACTATTCTACTAGAAGCTTTAAATGTGGCTACCTTGCTAATTTTTTTTTTTTTTTTTTTTTTTTTTTTTTTTTTTCAAATTAAAATGACAGTTTCTGCACCAAAAACTCGGCCAGCGAGCACAAAGACGAAATTTTCAGCACACAAAACTGACTTAATTCAATATTCTTCTAAGAATTTCAAATGTAAAAACAAATGGCTATCATGTTAGGCTTCACTTGCCACTTCAACTTTTAATTGTTGATTATTCTATAACAATTGCATGCAGATTAACTAAAGTCATGAAAACCTTAACTGGAACACAAGAACAGCATAATTCAATTACTGTTAAAGCAAAAAAATGCACAATTTACCAACATATAAGAATAAAAACACTGAGCCAAATAACAACAAAGTGGGCAAATATATAAATTTTATATAAGTCTGGTGCAGCCAATTTCAACCAAAAATAGAGGTGCACAACTACATGTTATAGCAGTCCCATATACAAATTTCAATGTTCCAAGGCTACTCATTTTCGAGTTATGCGAGATACATATATATGTAAGGACGTACAGATGTCGCGAAAAAAATCTCTTCTGAGTCCATTTTACAATCCTGTTTTGGCAAAAACAGTCCTTTATTCTGTCTGTACATACAGATAGCACACAAAAACATCGTTCAAATGGATTCGAGAGAGGTCGAAATGGATGTTTTTGGGAAATATGATAACCAAATTTTTTGCAATTACAATACTTCCTTTATTAGTATAAGGAAGTAAAAATAACTTCATTTTAGTCAAATTAACTATATTTTACAATTTTTACATGTACTTCTGTATATAATTGTAAATTAATACATTTACATTTCAACGACTGCTAGACACATATCAGCAATGAAAATTTCGACAATTCTATAAAACAAAATATCAAATTCTGATGAAATGCATTACTTTTTACAAAAACAGAAAATAAAAATAATTGTGCATGAAAAAGAAAACACTTGGTAAAAAATAAAAAAATATATAAGATACAACAGTTCCTTTGGAATATTCATCAAGAAAAAAGTTTTTTAAAATTCCAAATTTAGGAACTGGTTGAAAAAAATCTTATATTTATTGTTTGATACAAAATGGATTGGCTTGTTGTTTGTTCCTTCAAATAGGGAAAGCCATTCAAAAACTAAACTTGTGGGCAAAATTAACAGAATTTGGAAATTATGTTGAATTTCTGAAAACTTAGCATTATAACATTTATGATACCAAATTACAATGACAGAAATTTTCAAAGATATTTATAATTCGAATGGTTATTCAATTTTAAGAAGTCTTTCTGCCTAACAATACATTAGCTCTATTGGAATCAAATGCAGATAAATGAGTCTTGAAATAGTTTTCAGAAAATCCACCAGAATCAAAATTATTAATTATACAGGCATGTATACATTAAGCTGTAAAACTTTCTAACTCCAAAACAAAGACATTGCAAATTAAGACACAAATTTAAAGTTTCACACAAATCCCTATAGTTCACTGTTGCTGTTATATAAAATTCTTATTCTAAAATGCTAAAAATATTATCTAGTTACTACATTAAAAATACATTTATGAAGAAAAAAAAGGCACAGCATTGCCAGGCAAGACAAAATGCATCTCATGCTCTGGTAAAATCACCAAAATCTACAGATTATTCTCATATGAATAAGACCTACAATGCAGAAGACAAAAAGAGATAATGATAAAAGTTATTATTGTCTCAGAGAAGATTCAACTATGATTGTAAATTGTGAAGTAAATTTATATAATTCAAATCATGTTTTACACCAAAGAATTCTGAAATACAAAGTCTTTTTCCTTGCGTATAGAAAATTTTAACATAGTCACATATTATGAATAGAGTATCAATAGCCAAAATATAATAATATTTCTGATGTTCAGCTATTCCTTTTTTCATAAAAAATAATCTAAAAATAAATTACAGTCAAAAGTCGTTAATCCGGACTTGTCGGGACTTCGGCAATTCCGGATTATCGATTTTTCCGGATTATAGATCATCAGTTTAAATCTCGTAAAATGGCATGCAGAAATTTTAGAATTAAAAATATGAAACCGTAATTTATGAAATAAAGAACAATTATGATCTAAAGGAGTATCAAAATTTACAAAAAAAAAAAAAAAAAAAAAAAAAGAGCTTAATATTTAATTGTTTATTTTATTAAACATTTCTTTCAATGAAAGTTGTTTAAGTTGCTTCGTTTTATGTGATAATACTTTCTCTTTAATTCTATAAACAGACATAATTTCTTGTTCAGTTACAAAGTTCCGCTGTTCAAGTCCCGTAATTGCTGTGCCGAGAATACCGACTAACTTGTCAATCGAAATTTTTTCGTTTTCACTAACCTCTCTGTCACCTTCTTCATGTCTTAATCCATTTTTTGCAGCAATTCCACTTTTTGTTTGATGGACATCGAAACATACTTTCGTTTTGTAGATCCCTTTGGGAGCTCCAGCATTGGAAATTCTATTTGACATAATCGAAAGTTCAAGTTTACTTTTATAAAATTGCTCTTACAGTCTGAAAAAAGTAATAAGCCAGATCCAGTTCGAAGATTAAGGAACAACGCAATCATCAACATTAACTGAAATAGATAATTAGATAATTTTAGCTTATACCGTCCGTTATACATTAAACGTGCATGCGAAAACATATTCTGCACTTGTGCACACACGCATATGAGCAGTCGTAAGGGTCTTATGTGCACGTGTAAACGCCTATGCGCATGTGTAAACGCGGCGCATGCGCAGAAAGTTTTTAGCTTTGAGGTCCGGATTATAGATCATTCCGGATTATGGGTGTCCGAATTAGCGGCTTTTGACTGTATAAAAGCAGCTAATATTATATACTTGGAAAGAGAAAAATAATGTTTGAAAAATTGCAAATAATTATCATAATGCATAATATTAATAAAGAACACATTAAATTGTGAAAGCTAAACTTACTATAATCTCCATCTTGATGACACTGTTTTAACTGCTCTTCAAAATCATCTTCTTCTTCATTATTGTTGTTACACCTTGACAAGCCAAGTGTAATTTTAGCATTCCTTACAGGTGGGCTTGATTTTCTGGCAAGAATAGAGAGATTGGCGAGAGAACTGTCCATATGAGGCAGAGATAAATCAGATGTACAGTTTTCTGTTTGTAAGGAAGTTTGTACTGCTTGAATGGGTACTGATGATGGATAACTTTGACTAGAAAATCTAATTGCACCCTTGCTCATAGAGAGCATTCCCTGCACAGCATCTCTAGTTGAGGGTTCGAGTTGTGTTGGAGCACCGCTAAAAGAGTAATAAATGCAATTACTTGCTTATAATGCATGAGAAGGCCAAATATACATAGGAAAAAGGAAGAGAAGGGGGGAAGAGCAGTTTTACCTCCATATTTGGCTGACTGACAAATTTTAAATTACATATTTTGTGTCTCAGAGGATAAAATTATATAGGATGTATATCCAGCTTTGCACTTATATTTCCTCCTTTAGGCATAAAAAACTGATTTTTATGAAATGAAATGCAGATTTTTCATTCACCAATTAAATTGCATGTCTTAAATTACATTTTTCGCAATTACTTATTTAAACTTGGCATCAATTTTCATCTTCGTGTGAGAAATAATTTCACTTGGCACCTTAATTTATGTTAGCTATGATTTTTTTCAATACTTAATTAAGACAACTTTAATTCGGCATTTAATCATGTTTTTGTTATTTTGAAAGAAACTTTTTTTTTTTTTTTTAAATTTGCATACTTTAAAAAACAGTTAAGATATTAGAGAAATATTTGAAATTCTCTAAGAACAGAAACTTCTTAAAAATTTTACACTTAGAACATCTGAAATACTAAAGACTGAGAATTTTAAATTAACATCTGATAATAGCATGCCAGTAAAGGATATTTATGGTAAATACTTTGTTGAAATATCTTCTATATCATTACAAATACCCACAACAAATCAAATACTTCCTTGAACTATTTTTATTTGAAAATTTTGCTGACTTAATAATTATTAATCTCTGCTTATATATTATTTAAATTATTCAAGATTACATGTAAGAAATCCAACATAGCAGGCACATATATGAAAATAAAAAATAATCCTCATTATTCTTTAGGGATTTGGTATAGATTTTCACTACAATTCTTTCAATTTATGCAAAGTTTAGTGCACATTTAATTTCATTTAATAACTCTTTTGAGTGGTCTACTAAATGTGTCTCAATATACTTTCACATAAATATTTAAACACATTTAATTTTAAAATAAATTATCTATGAATAAGTGATAATGCACTGAAAAATTTGCAAAAAGTATCATTTAGGAGGCCACAGGAGCAAACTCTAAATATTTATTTCTAATAAACAAGATTCGTGACATATTTGCACATGGAAATTAAACACTTCTAAAGACCATCACTGAAAAAAAATTAAGGAACTATCAGCAAATAGTAATTAAAAAAATTAAAAGCAATCATCTATGCATGAACACTGCAGGCTGTACTTTTGTAATACCATTTGAAGAATAAAACAGATCTACCAATGAAGCACACAGTACACGGGGTGATGCACAAATATCATAAATTTGATGTTAATGGGGTTTTGGTGGAAATTCCAACAATTCCATAAAATGACTGGCCATCATGCATGGAATTTTTAACTTTGGTGCTGTTTTTTGGTTTTACATGAAAGCAGATGTTTTGGGGTGTTCGATTTCCACTTCCACATCTGTCCCAGAATTTAAATGATCTCAAGTGATACTCAATACACAGGTATTTCTGAGAAGTTTTGAAATTTTCTTTAATATTTTAAATTTCATTATCTTTTCTTCTTTTATTATTTTGTCTTACTGCTGTTATTTTTATGCTGTGCTTTTTTATAAATTCAGTGCTGGATGTTTATTTTATATGTATTATTTGACACATCTTGCAGCAGGGGATATGATACATTTTTGTGCAATTGTGACTCTGCTACTAATCTCTATGTCACTTAAACACATCTGTTTACTTTTATCGTCTGTATCTTCTTTCTTAATCTGTATTTTGGGCACAGTCAAGAAAACATTCTGCACTGCCCTTGACAATTTGCACACAGTGGCCAGCATTGCAATCATCACTGGCTTTTCACACAGCAACATACACAATATGAACTCGCCAAGATAGGACATCTCTGAGTGGAAAAGTGTAGGCATTAAGTATTATAAAGGACTTGGTATGCAAGGCCTTAAAAGGCAATGTAAATACTTGGCCCTAATCCTTTTTGGCAGATCAGGCAATAGTCAGGATTACATGTTTTACATTGATCAATTAACCCTTTCTGCACATCTTGATTCTACCATATATTTGGTTTGGATAACTCACAGATAATTACCTCTTCTGAGTAGGGCGAGGAGGTCGATCTCAAAGATTACACCATTACTGTAGTTTAATGCTCTGAAACACTAAAATTAACTATCCCATTACTGTAGTTTAGCGCTCTGAAACACTAAAATTAACTATCCCAAGTTTTTTTTTTTTTTTTTTTTAATCCAAGGAGCATAGCAGATTGAGATGGAGAAATTTCAATAAGGAGGCCACCAGAACACAAATGTTGATATTTTTTGGTTCTCCAATGTAAGACTAAGTACCGTGGATCATAAATGGTGACATTTTCTGAAGGTCACCTATTGTATTGTTGATAGCAAAGAAATCTTGGTGGATCTACATCCGTTTCCACTTTTTTAGATAGACAGGTGTTCTCATTTTCAGCACTTTGTGTAATTTTAGAAGACATATTTGAAGGAAATAAAAGATTCGGCCCTGTTTGCCCCAATTACCACAGAATTCGAGATACTTTGTTTCAAATCAGTGGTGTAGAGACTTTAGCTATTTGTATAATAACATCAGTAATGCCTTTTGTTGCATCATCAATAGACACATCTTTTTACAATTTCTTCTGCAAGCTTACCTTCCCAAAACAGATTATGGCCTAGAATATGAATCAACAAGTGGACACAGATTTCTGCACTAACCGGGCAATATGCTCAATGAAGCCCCACAGTTAAATCTCTTGAAAGGAGGCACTGCTGATCGCTTATCCCTAAGCTGAAAAAGACAGCAATCAGCCAATTGTCACTAACAAAAACAGTTAAGTGCCTCCATTTTAATATAAAACAGAGGCCACAAGAGTGTTTTGGGGATAGTACCTTCCCTGTCAACAACCCAGGTCTCCATGTACTCCAAATGTGTAGCCAGTTTTATCTCTGCGAGAAGTAAGGAACAGAAGGGATGTAATAGCATCTCATTTTGAATCCCAGCCTCTGAAAAAGAAACCACAAGAGAGAAAAAAAGAAAAGCAGAAGATAAGCAAAGAGGAAGGAGAACACATAACTGGAGCCACTGATTAAGCATCATGATCCATCGAGTAAAAATTTCTTAAAGAATTATTATATTTATGATTCTTACAGGTGTGTTTAATAAGCACTGATTTATCCTGTCATAAAGATACTAAAGTGCATCTCAGTATGCATGGTTCACACAGAGTAATTCTCAACATACAACCCCCAGCCAAAAAAAAATTCTGTAATACACACATGAAAGATAATAAAGAGAAAAAAAATTAACACAAACACATATACAGCATGATATGAGTATGCATACACATACTATTTCTACATAGTAAGGTAATTTCACCTGTCTGGATTCTTACTTATGATAATTTACTAAGTATCTTAGTAATTACTGAATATGATACATTTAACACGAACTGCACATGAATCTTGTTCAAAGCATTTTAACTAAATTTTTTAAGTTTCTTGTAGCTTCATATCAAATAATTTTACGGCATTATGCCACAACACAACCTCAGAAATTCCTTTGATAGAACTGCGTGAACAAAGAAACCTGTAATAAGATTTCATAACAGCAAATTAGACAGCCATATATATATATATACCATGTAAATATTTCTAAAAATATTGCTTAAAAAGACTATTTTAATACTTTTTTTTTTTTTCAATTCAAAGATAATATTTTCAGTGACATAACTGCAAGCAAACTTTTCACTTAAATAAAAAACACATTTTTAGAATTTACAAATAAATAATTTTTAGAAGGGAGCAGTTCGAAGCATCAGACAATGAAAATTAATATTGCTTCAATATCTGCATTTGATAAATGGCATTCTAAATCTAAAACTGTCTTTCTGCAAACATCTTCTAAAAAGTTACAAACTAGTATTTATTTTATATTACAAATTAGCAAATTTATCATTTTAGCTAAAATTTATCTAATCTTTAGCTAAATCAATACAAATCCATTTTTTCCATATTTCATATTGTAAGGATCTTAAGTTTTACTAACGTTTATTTTATTTTAAATCTTTACTATCACTTCTTATTTTCTACTTCCGGCCAGAATTATAAGCGTGAAGGAGTTTATGCAAAGTTGTCTGGCGAACGCCAAGTATTTAAGTGTGGCCTTTTTGCCAAGCAGAAGAGAGGAAGCCGTGAGTTTGAAGCAGGCCGCTTACCTTAGAAGTTACGCAGTTTGCTACTTTGCCTTCCAGGCCAGAGGTTTTAATCCTCTTGATAAATTAAACGTATTGTAGTGTTCACAGTCTCTGTGCTACATACGCTTCCTGTTATTATAAGGCCAATCTTATTCTAAAGTTAAATTAGAGTTTAGTTTTATTTTTGATATCTTTTAAGTTAGACCCGAGTGGAGGGTCATTGTATTCCGAAGTACGGAAGTCATTGTATATAAAGAAAAAAAATAAAGGGTTTTGTATACCCTTCGTCTGTATCCTGTCTACTTCACACCAATTCCTGAACATAGCTTTGAGTAAGCGCCTCTGTTCCTATTCAGGACCATTCACGTTTCCGAACGCAAAGGTTCAAGAGAAATACAAGCCCTGATAGTGGCGCCCGAACGAATAAGAATAACCATGGACGAGTTTCAAGAAGAACCTGAGGTGCCTGTAGAAACAGCGGCTCAGAATCCAGAAATGCCAGCTGCCGCCCTGGAAGTATTTGAATACATCGCCCAGACCATGCGCGCATCGATGAAACCAGCAGCAACTTTCGGTGGAAACTCACCGGTGACCAGTTTTTTGGAAAAATTGGATGCCCACTTCATGCTATATCCAGACCATGAGTTCCAGAAAGTCACCTTAGCTACCAGCGCTTTGAGGGGCAAGCGCTTAACTGGTTCAAATGTATCGGCAGAAGTCTCTTGGGTCAAGCAGGAGTCCCACCTATACTACGAAAATTTCAAGACTGCCCTACTAAAGCCTTCCCTGTTGTAGGGATCGTGCGAAATTAAACAGAACTTTT